TAGTAATTGTTTCATTACTGTTATTGGATTAGTTTCGCATTCACTTTTTTATGTGAGTTGCTTTCAGCGCTTTCGAAGGACGTCCTGATGCTATGTCACAACTCTCACCAGAGCCTTTTTCGGAGGAAGATGCCACTGCAAGACGAGTTGCAGTCTTAACTGCCCCAGATGCGCCGAAAGCGTGTAAGGTAAACGACACTTGATATTGGAACCCACTAAAATTACATGAAGTAAAGATTTTTACGATATGCGCGACCCACTGTTGAACATTTTATGGCTTGATGTATGAGCCTCATTGCCCTTGTCACCTGTATCACCCCACACTTCACAGTAGAACACACATCTCCACACCGCCTCTTCACACAATTGCAACAACCTGGTTCACCCTGGACCGAGCACGCCTTCCCTGCGATTTCCGTCATGGCATTTTGTACAATCTCTATCTTCATCCCTTTCGAAAAGCCTTATTTCTCGCGAGTTTGGTAGATTTCCTCACTGTCTTCGCCACCGATGCAATACTCTCTATAACTCTTCCGTTTCCGACTTAAAAAGGGTACCTCAAAATCATCGTGATCTGTGCTTTTAGGCTAACTACAGTTATGTTGTTGTAACTTGGGCAGGATATCAGTATAGCAAAATATTCTCCGTCGGGATTTTTACAAAGTTTTGAACAATAAATGGTAAGCGTAGGTCTGTGGTGATAACGCCAATGGTTACAACTTCGGTGTATTGACATGCGAATCGTGCAAGGCGTTCTTCCGTCGAAATGCCATCAGAGAAGAAGTAAGTGAATCTCTCCACTTCAATAACTGTATATTCATTAGCATAGCTTTTCTAGGAGATAAAGTGCCCATTTTCGAGCAACTGTGAGATCACACCTGCTTCCCGTCGTTTCTGTCAAGCCTGTCGACTTCAAAAATGCTTTGCGGTCAGTGCACTGAGCTCATCACTCAAGCGTTTGCTGACTATATGAGTCGCAAAGTTTGTTGTACAAAGCAATTTGAGCAGAGATCGGTAGCCTGTAGTCAGGTGGGAAGGCGTCATTCGTGACAGTGACGCGTGCTGGCGCGTGGCACCTATTTCACCCTTCATCCATTGGCGCTTT